CCCCCCCCATTCTCCCCACTGCCTCCGCCAGGAAGGGCCCATGAGCAGTGGTTGTGGGGATGGGGGGAGCATCACCTCGTTACATCACAGCCCCTCACCTTCTGAAATCACAGCACCCCACTCCACAGCTGGGATCAGGGATGGGGGAGGGGGGGCTGTGCAAGAAGCCGGGCTGATCCCAAAAGCCAGAGATGTGCTTTGCTCTCAGCACCCCGAGCTGGGGGGGGGGCATAGGGGGGTCTGTCCCAATGGGTGCTGGCAGCTGTCTCCATCCCTTTGGATTTGTATCTTTCCCCCCCCACCCTCCCCATTCCCTTGCTTGCATTGCCAGGGGTTGCACCCTCTGCTCGGTTCTCTCTGGATTTATATACATTAGATATATTTATATATTATAGTTATATATTTAAAATAAAAAAATTAGGGGGAGAAAAGACCAGCAAGCAACTTGCATGGGCCTTCCCGGCAGCATCCCCAACCCCCCCTCCCCCCCCCACCTCCCCACCCCACTCCCACCACCCCAAAAAGTAACCAACAAAGGATAAAACCTAGAAAATGATTCCAGTGCGTTTCTCAGGAAGCCCCCCCTGCTGCAAACGCCCTGGCCCTGTTTCTCCCCCCTCCCCTCCCCCCCCCCTTATCTTTGGCCATCCATTGTGGCCATGGCTTTCTGTGGGGGGGCTGCAGGGGGGGGTGCAGGGGGCCAGGAGGGCTGCGGGTGGTGCAGGTGGTGATGGAGGCCGTGGGCTGTGGGTGAGGAGGGGGGCAGCCAGGAAGGCTGTTGGCTGGGGGGTGAAGAGGCCCAGAAGGGGCTGAAACTGCCCGGGGGGGAACAGGCCATGGAGGTGATGGGGCTGTTGCTGCTCTGGAGGTTTTCGGAGGTTCGCAGCTTGGAGAACATGGCGAGAGCATCTGGGAAGTTGGGCGGAGTGGCCGGCGTGTTGCTTGGGGTGCACATCTGTGGGGAGAGGAGACACTGGGCGTCAGGTCCCCGTGGGTCACTTGGGGTTCCTAAGGGTTGTTTGTGGTCCCTATGGGCAGCTTTGGGTGCCCAAGGGGTTTGCAGGGCCCCACCAATGGGTGTCAAAGCACTATGGGGGACCCCATCGTGTGAGGGATGCTCAGAGCTGAGCTCAGCGCAGTGCTGGGGTCCCCACGCAGTGCTCGTGTTCTGGATGAGACCCCACAGGGCCCAGGGTTTGTGCTGGTCCCACTCCTGTGTTGGCTCAGGATTGAGGTTCCTACTCCCAAAGCTGATCCCAAAGCTGGGAATCTGACTTGGGGAGGTTCAGCCTCACTGTTCCTGTTCAATCAGATGCTGACAGGGAGGAGTGGGATGAGTGAGTGCCCTGCACCACCTCCATGCCAGCACTGTGCTGGTAGCACCAAGGTTCAGCAGTTTAGAACTTTATAAGCAGTTAATAACTGCACCTTTTAGGGTATTTTCTTCCACATTACGCTGCAAAGCCAGCACTGCCCTGGCTGTAAGTTCCCTCACCAACACGCAGCCAGCTTTGCCAACCCAACAGAGAAGGGACTCGCTGCAGCCCCTGCAAATAACCCTCACTGTGCTGTGCAACCAGGACTGGGCACACTTGGCAGCAGCTCACACAACCCAAAATAGCCCAGCGGGTGCTCTCCCCTTTCAGAAGGGGTTGGGAGCACTGGTGGGACACGGACAGCCCCCAGCAATGGGGTGGGGGTTCTCCTCACTCTGCCACTTCCCAAAGCCATCAGCTTGGGCACAGACCCAAGTGAATGGGGGTCCCTGCAGGACCCAGCTGTTTCTGCTGCAGCTTCTCTTCCCTGGAGTGCAGAGCAAAACAAAGGAGGGCCCCAAGGTTCTCGGTACCACCCGGAGCTTCTGTATATCTGGCTAAATTTAGCAGGGGCTGTGCTGAGCCAGGGAGAGGAGGAACACCCACAGGGAGAGTGCGTGAGGCTGCAAAAGTCACACACCCAAAACAAGGGGAAGGAAAGTGCAGAGAAACTTCTCCTTGTCCACCTTGGTTATGGGGGCAGGGTGTCCATCCTGAGGCCCCGTCCCCTTTATCTGGGTTGCTCTGAGCTGAGTTTCCTGGGTTGCTCTGAGTTGGGGTTTGATTTGTGGGGTCTGCAGGAGGAAATCTGTTGGGGTTCGGTGCTCTGATGAAAGCTGGAGGGTGCACAGATGGGAGCACCTGCATGGGGTTTTGTCCTGAGGGGTCTGAGTGCCCTCACCCCACGTGGAGATGCAGCACTCAGGGCTGGGATGGAGCTGAGCAAAGCCAGCAGAGGGTCCAGGGGTGCTCCTCCCCACAGCCTGAGGATGCTGCTACCAGTGTGGGGTCAGGAAGATCTTCTAGCAGGAAGCACAGCACCGTGTGCTTCCAGCAGTGCTGTGGTTGCTCCCACACCAGCTGCAGATGCCACCCGTGCTGTTGCTATAGCAGAGGATGGGGATATGCTTAGGCTGTGCTGCTCCAGAAGTGGGTCTTTGTCCCAGATGCTCCTGTTCAGGCTCACTTGTGTCCTCAGCACATAAGGGACCTTGTGCCCCAAATAGTACCTGGGGTCAGGTGCAAGAGGGGTGGATGCAGCTTAGGCTTTGTGGGGTGTTTGCACAATTAATTAAACAAAAGAAAGAAGAAGAAAAAAAAAAAAGTGGTGTAATGATTTGCCTTCTTCCTCCAGTATCGTTATTTTAGGGAGCTGTTGGCTGTCGTGGATCACAGAGCCCCTTGTATCCCACTGTGAGTAGGGCTGCTCAGAGCCAGAAGGGGGGAAAGCAGCAAGAAATGCCAAAAATGCACCACGGCAGGATCTGGTGAGCACCACCTCCTTGTTCTGCACTGTGTGTCAGCAGCACAGCCCCACGTGAGGACACTGTGGGTTTGGGGGAGCTCTGAATCCCATAAGTGCTGTGTGAGGTGGGAGCAGAACGTGGGCCCTTTTTCTGAAGCGATGGACGCAGCATTGCTGCCTGCTTTGCATGGTGCTTCCTGCAGCCTCCTGGGGCCGGTGGGGCAGAATGGCTGCACTGAGCACTGCTTTTTAGGGTGAATTTTTGTTTGGTGAGTCCTGCAAGGCCTGAAGCAGCTCCGCCTGCCTCCACTCCCCAACTCTAAATGGGGTTTTTTAGGGAGGGGGGGGCAGCTCCGGTGCGGGGTTCGACCTTCCCTCTGCCACCAGATGGAAACATGGGGATGAGGCACAGCTGCTGGAGGGCTCTGTGGGACCCCCCCCCCATGCTCTGAATACAGAGAAAATCACAGTGGGAGCCACCCCAGCCTGAGCAAAGAGGGGGAAAGGGGGGGAGTAAATAAACCCAGAGGTGCAGAGCGTGAGGCCCAGACTGCGGCCTGCTGAGCGCCTGTGGGACGGCCTGGAAAGATAGAAACGGGACAAAGCAGCAGAACCCAGGCCTGTACAACCCCGAAAATAAAAAGGGGAAGAAAACAGACGATGAAACGTGTCCCCAGCCTGGTGTGAGGGGAGCGGGGCCGCGGCCTTCCGCGCGGCACAGCCGCTTCCTGGCAGACATCTTAGCTCGTGGTGTTTACATTCGCCGGCTGCGTGCTGCCGGTGGCACAGCAACATGGTGGCGGGGCTGACAGCAGGAGCCGGGATGGGATGGGATGG